TGTTTATTCTGATTTCCCAGTGCAGCTAGCCATGCTATCCCCCAAACTCAATTACCTCTTGCAAGGCGGCAGGAGCTCAACACCTCCTAGACATATTGATCAGCACAGATTGGGAGGGACAGGAGTGATCTGAGAGATGTTAAGCAGCAATTTCTGGACTTTTTCTGCCTTAGGAGGCTTTCCTTTTCTGTGCTTCTAGAGACTCTTTACTTTAATAAAACAGAAGTCTATGCCCAAGTGGTAGAATTTGCAAAAGCCTTCTCTCAGTAGGCTTTTTAGAAGCAAGCTGATGAGGATGGTCACAGTGGACCAGAACATGAGTCCCTGGAGTGGCCAGAATGGTTTTCCAGCTGTAGCTTTTTGCCTACACTAGGGCTCTGCAAGCAATTGCATGATATAAACTCTGAATGCCATTGCAAGTAGAAAAAGTTTGGAAGGAGACACACCCAATTCTCAGCAGACAGAGCAGTGGGACTTGTGGGGAAGCAGGGTGGAGTAGTCTCAGGACTTTATCTGGACTGAGATTTCAAGTTTTTAATCCTAGGGATAAATTCCTAGATTACTTGTGTATTAAACATAAATAATAGTTAGAAGTAATCATTTTAAATATAAACTAAGAAAAGCTGAATAATAGCAAACCATCCAAAATACTGTTTTAGAGGTAACTTCAAAAGGAAAGGTCCAAATGGTGCAACTGTTAAGCTTGTTGGGGGAGAAAGGTTGCTTGTGAGTGAATTTTGGGATTCCTTAGGGAGTGCATGCAGAGGACTAGGTTAGACATAAACTCATAGGGAATTAGTCATGTTTGAAAATGGAAACTAACTTTTTTTTCTTTGCAAATAAATATAATGGGGCAACTTCAGACAAACAAGAAAAATGTAGATAAGGAAAAGGAAAATAAAAATACCATGCAATTTGTAATTCTGCCATTCACTGTGAATATTTGGATGTGCTCTTCTATGCTAACTTTCTGGGGGAATGTAATTAAGATTTCAAAAGTGTTATTAAAATATGTACATTTAAAACAATTATTGCTTTCTTTTGAGACACCTCATTTTAAGAGGTGGTTTCCAATTTGCAATCCTATGGACTCAGTTTTTTTTGTGTTCTGGGATGACATGTATGTGTACAATGCCACACAGTGTAGAAACAGACACATTTATTTTATTTTAAAATTATCTCATAAGTCCATATTAGATTTTAATTCTTGATAGACACATTAGGTGTTGCTAAATTGTACCATGACTCATTTAATCATTAAGCAGTTGTATTCTGATATCAGGTATTCAGGTTATTCATTTTTTTTTGTTCTTAACGATAACTGAGCTCTGTATCTGAATGACATTAGGAAAGCTGGTTAACATCTCTGTGCTTTTGATTTCTCATTTGCATGATGAAGGTGATATCAGCACCTACTTAATAAGCATTTTGGCTGGGCATCAATAGCTCACAGCATGTAGAGGTGGATGGATCAGGAAGCAGAGAGAAAGACTGGATAGAGAACAGAGGTCAACCCCAAAGCCTACCACCAGTGTCCAATGCCCGTCACTTAGGGCTCACGTCCCAAATGTTCCACAGTCTTCTAAAATAGTCCCCCTTGCCAGTGACCAGGTGTTCAAATGCACCAACATGTGGCAGAACATATCACATTTGAACAATAACACCTGTTGAAGCTCAACTTCTGTATCAGAAAACTGGGAATTACAAGGCTCTAGCTCAAAGAGTATTGCAGAGCAAATGACATAACACTTAGGAAGCCCTTATCACAATTTTTGACATATGAGAAGAGTATTGAAGGCAAGCTCTTACTATGACTGCCACCATTATCACCACTGCTGCAGCTACAATTTAACCACTTGTGGTAAGAAAGTTTCCTTATTTGGTAGGGTAGGGAAATCCAGCAGTGAGTAGAGCATTTTGAGTGTTTCTGCTCCTGGATTGTGAACAGAAAATGATTTCAGAAGCAAGTTGATCAGGGCTCAAACTCACCTTTTTTTCATTAGGACTAGATCTGCAATCTGGGTCACAGGAACTTTTTCCAGCCTGTTTCCTTATTTGTAAAATGAGGATGGCATTGGTGCCTATCTTGCATGTGTTGCTGAGAAACCTGAAAAAATGTGATGTGTTCTCAGCCCACAGGCTCATTTAGTATCTGGTGTTTATGATGAGTTACTGTTAGTTGATAATTTTAAATGACTGTCCACAAATTCTAAATCCATAACCCAAGATTCTTGAACTTCACCTGAAGGTTTTGACTATCTGGGGCGTAATGGTCAATTCTGTCCCCAGACTAAATGGATGTTTAAGTGGTACCAGTCTAAAAGTCTGGAGTGAGCCAGAGGGTGTGTTTCAGTAGTAGAGTGCTTAGGTAGCATATACATAGCCCTGAGTTCATCCTCAGTATTGAAAAATGAGAGAGAGAGACAGAGAGAGAAACACACAGAGAGAGACAGACAGACACACAGAGAGAGACAGAGAGAGAGAGAGAGAGAGAGAGAGAGAGAGAGAGAGAGAGTGCTCTGGTGATCTTTATTTACTTCTACTCTGACCTATGCCCTCCGTCTAGAAAGCAGGCTTCACCCTTGTTTATATGAGAGTGGTCCTCACTGGGTATGCTCAAGTATGACATTCTTACTATGTTTGAAACCTATGGAGCCTCATGTTGAATCCTAGATTTTTTAGGATGGACATTGGCCACCAGATTTCTCTTTGTCTCTGACACTTTAGCATATTGGCTTTTAAAATTTTTCATGGCTATGGGTCACTATTAAGATCTTCACTTCCCAACTCCCTTCCTCCTCAGTCTCTTCTTTCCTTCCTTTTGCTACCCTTAAACTTCCTTGTGTTTCACAGATGCTATTTCTCTGGATCCTTAGTCACAGTCCTTACCTCTAACACTGAGCCAGCACTTTTTGGTATGGCCAGCTGCCTTGTCTAGGATTCAGAGGAGCTGTGCCTGCCTGGTTGAAGAGAGCACGCGTGTTTCATTTCTGGAGTGGGACACTTTCTGGCTTATCTCTTTGGTTGTGACAGTCTCTTTTCCTTGGGGTAGTCAGAGGTGGACATAGTGGTGTGAAGCTGGTGGTATTATGGGTAAGGGGGTTGGGTTGCAGAGACCAAGAGCTAAAGTAGAGCTTCTGGAGGGCTGACAAGGGAAAGGTGGCCGGAGGCAAATGTCAGAGGCTATATAGAGGCAGAAATCTGGGACCTGAGAGCCAGAGCATGCACTAGCAAGTCAAGAGCAGTGGAGTTGGTGGGCGGGCCGGCTAGCTGGCTGGCGGGCAAGAGGGGTGTGTGGCAGGCAATAGCTAAGGGAGATTGCAGAGAACAGCTGTTGATATTGGGCCTTGCTGTAGTGAACTGGCACTGGATATAAGTCAATTGGTCAGACCAAAAAAGATACAGTGCAAAAGACACTATCATTCTTCTTAAGGTAAGATCTTTCTGAGTTGTTCCTCGTGGAAAATTGTGCTACACACAGGGATTGTTTGATGATGAAGGTGGAATTGGAGGATTGATTTTTTTTTGGCTCGTCTTTCCCATGGCATGACTTAAGATTAGGATAATTGAAATGTGGGCAGGACTCTTTTATGACACCTTATCTTGGGGTTTTCTAGTTAATGGGACCGAGGTTGGGAAGAAGTGAATTTTTATAGTCTATTAGTAAGAAGTAGAGGGCCTGAAGTATTGGCTGGGCTTGAGAATCTCTCAAACCACATGTAAATGACCAAGTTTCTGTGAGCCTTCATTTACCCCGCCATAAGGAGGAGGGTTGCCAAGAATCTCTGAGGGTTACTGTATGGGTTAGATGATATGAGACAGGTAAACTGCTTAGCAGAAGTACCAGCCAGTGCATGCTCAAGTAATGCTTGTTGTTGGTATTTCTGCTGTTAGTGTTCCAATAGTTATGAAAGCACATGGATGATTTCTTTGACATTGTCCCAAATATTCAGTCTTTTTAGAGCATGATCAGGCTATGAGGACATGTTAATCTTATGTTATGCATCTACAGGGCAACTTGAAATATCTGAATACTGTAGACTAAGGTGCCAGTGATCTCTCATCTAGAATGTCAGACATGCAATCTCAGGGATACCAAAAATCAAGCAATCCCAAGGAAGGGGTGAAGAGACAAAATTACAGTGCTACCATCACAATGACTCTATTTTAGCTTCAACTCCTGTTAATCTTAGAAAGCAGGTATAACAGGAATAATAATACTTAGGACCCAACTACAACTAGGTTTGCAAAGTCCTGCACATCATAGGCAGTTCGAAATTCTGTACAGTTAAAGTTCAGTGCTATCCACGAACCTACTCAGTAAGTAATAAATAGTATTGTAGTGATGACTGTTATCAATAATGATAATGATGAAAATATTAAGCAAAGTTTTAATTTGTGGAATGCTAGTCTTAGTCATTGATAATGTAAATATGCTACTTTTCCTGAGAAAGACATTCATGGATATCATAGTAGTAAGATCTGTGTTAAACCATTGGTAAGATTCAATGAGCATAAGGAACTAATACTTATCATGGAATAAAGGGCTGCCTACTGGTACTTAGGTTGACTCGACTTTGAAGAGCATAGCCAAAGAACCTGAACTTCTTGTAATTGGCCAGAAGGTGGTGCTGCTGACTCATTTGAGACAGGGCTTCCCTAGCTCTGAAGCCTGCTATTGGCATTTATAAATATGGAGGCCTTGCTTTGTAACTGAGTAGGTTGGTTTAGAACGGACAGAGGTTGAAGGGATCATTGCTCCAGCTTTGGGGGTATTTTTTGCGATATGGTTTCTTCAAACTGATAGACCCACCTTCAAAGCCATATACATGGCAACTCACAAAAGCAGGTCTCTATGAATCATTGGAATATATTTCTGAAATTGGCTTTTAACCTTTAAACTTCTTTCTCGTTTACAGATTTCATTGATTTGTGGGTTTCACCAGGGCCCCTGATGTCAACACATTAGAGTCTCCATCCGGATACCCTGTTGTGTAGCCATGGCAGATATGTCAATACCATTACATTCATTACGTTTCAACAATATGATGAGGGAGGAAAATGGTGACTCCCAAAATAGGGGGGCAACTTTCTCCAGACCAATGACAGAGACCAGAGCAGAGGTTCAAATCCTGCATTCTCAGTTGCAGTTGCCTATAGTCTCTACTTCAGCCACAGATCCCAGAGGGACATCTACACAGCTGATGACATCCCCAGTCTTCAACAGTCTGTCTACACCTCTCATGGGAGCACCATACTCTGAGACATTGTCCCCACCACTGATGTCAGCCTCAGACACCGGGACACTGTCTCCACTGGTAATGCCAACCTCAGATTCAGGAACTCTGTCTCCACTTCTAATGCCAGTTTCAGACTCTGGAGCACTGTCTCCACTGCTAATGCCAACCTCAGATTCTGGAACATTGTCCCCATTGTTGTCTACTTCAGACTATGGGTTAATGTCCCCAGGGATGATGACAATTCCTGACTTTGGGACAATGTCCACAGAACTAATGGCAGCACCAGATTCTGCAGAAGTATCACCACTGGCAATGCCAGTTCCATCCTCTGGAGTAATATCTGCACCTATAATGAGCACTTCATCTTCTGAGGCATCGTTAGTGCTAGGATCAGATCCTGATGAGATATCCGCACTTCCAGATGTGAACCCTGGAGTGATATCCACAGATCCAGGCTCTGAAGCAATGTCCCCATTGCAAATTACAGATGAGGACACAGAAGCAATGTCCAAAGTGCTAATGACTGCTCTAGCTTCTGGTGAGATATCATCACTGCTAATGTCAGGCACAGACTCTGAAGTGATATCCTCTCTAATAATGTCAGCCCTAGCTTCTGGAGAAACATTAACCCAGCCAACAAACTCTCAAGACTCTGAAGGAATACCCACTATGCTTATGTCAGGCTCAGACTCTGGAGTCATGTCTTCAGTGACTATGCCAGTGTCAGGCTCTGGAGCACAGTCCACATCACTGCTGTCAATTCCAGATACTGAAGAAATATCCACATTACCAAAGCTGGCCCCAGATGCTGAGGCAATGTCCCCACTGCTAATGACAGCTCTCACCTCCACAGTGATGCCTACTCCACTAATGTCAGCATGTAGTTCTGGAGTGATGTCCCCAGATATAACACAAGATATCAACTCTGAGATTGTGTCTGCTCCACCGATAAGAGTCCCCACTACTGGACTGATGTCCACAGTGCCGATGAGGGCTTCTGATACAGGGGCAATGCCCATACAACTAGTGAAAGTCCCTGCCTCAGGAAATACATCTACATCACAAAAGACAGTTCCTGTCTCTGGATCAATGCCCACTCCGCTGATGCCTGCCACAAGCCCTGGAGCAATGTGCATGGAACAAATGTCAACCACAGCCTCTGGTTCAATATCTACACATTTAACAATGGCCAAAACACCTGGATCAATGCCCATAGGCTTTATGAAGGCCACAGCGAATGGGGCAGTTTCTGCACAGCGAACGAGAGGTTCAGCTTTTGGGATGATGTCCACACATCCAGTTATAGCTACAGCCTCTGAAATAATGTCTGTGTCACAATTAACAGTCCCAGCTTCTGGGTCAGCGTCCATACAGAAAGTTCGAGCTCCTGTCTCTGGACCAATGTCCACATCACAAACAAGAACCACAGCCTCAGGGTTGACATCCACACCACAAATGAGAGCCAAAGCCTCTGGAGCAATGTCTACCCCACTAATGACTGCTGAAACCTCTGGATCAGCATCCCCACTGTTAATGAGAGACACAGCCTCAGGAGTGATATCCATGCCACAGATGAGAGCTCCAGGCTCTGGAGCATTGTCCAAGCCACTAATGACATCCAAAGCTTCTGGAATGTTCATGCAGCAAATGACAACTGCAGCTTCTGGAGCAATGCCCACATTCCTAACGAGAGACACAGCTTCTGGAATTCTGTCCATACCACAGATGACTGATCCAGCCTCAGGAGGCATGTCCACACTGCTAATGAGAGACACAGCTTCTGCAACAATGTCTACATCACAGATGGCAGCCACCACCTCTGGAGGCATGTCAGTGCCTCTGACAAGAGTCCCATGTCCTGGAGCAACATCCATATCATTAACGAGAGCCACAGCCTCTGAGAAGATGCCTTGTCAGGCAATAAATACTCAAGACTCTGGAAAAGTATCTACATCACTCATGAGACCTGTTACCTTGGGAGAGATACAGATGAGATCCCAGGGCTCTGGGACAATGTCCACACCCCTACTAAGAGCCTCAGACTCATCGAAGATGCCTACATTGCTCATAAAAGCCTCATCTTCTGGAGAGCATCCTCTGCTACTAATGAGACCTCCAGCTTCTGGAGAGACAGTTCCACCTCCAAGAGTCCCAGTTTATGGGACATTATCACCTACACACATGACAGCCACAGCCTCAGGAATGATGCCCATACTACCTATGAAGGTTTCAGTCCCTGCATCAGAGCCCACACCAGTCCTGAGACCCACAGATTCTGGAGTGATATCCATTCCACTGATGAGGCCCCCAGTTTCTAGAGCAAAGTCCATACCACAAATGATGGCCACAGCTTGTGGAGACATGTGCCCACTCCCAGTGCGAGCTCCAGTGACTGCAGGGGTCTCTCCACCACCAGTCAGAGCATCAGCCTCTTTGGCCATGTCTACAACACTTAGGAGACCCTCTGATGGAGCTGTGGCCACAGAATTAGAGAGGGCTGTAGGCCCTGGAATTATGTCCACTGCACAAATGGCAGCTATGACCTCTGGAGAAATGTCGAAGCCACTAATGAGGGTTTCAGCCTCTGGAACCATGCCCATGCCTTTAGTGTCACCTATGACTTCTGGAGAGATGTCTATGCCACTAATGAAAACCATGCCTTCTGGGACAATGTCAACTCTACAAGCCAAAGTCATGAGGTGTAGAGCTGCATCCTTGACACAGCCAACAATAACAACTTCTGAGGGACTAGCTAATCCCCCAGAGAGAGCTCCAACCTCTGCAGCAGTGTCTACATCACTTATGAGATCCTCAGGTTCAGGAATGACATCCATACCACTACTGAGGGCTACGGCCTCAGGAGGGATATCCATGCCTCAAATGACAGCTCCAATCTCTGGAGAGATGTCTACACCACTAATGAGGGTGCTGGCACCTGAAACAATGTCCAGACAACAAACTACCTTTGGAATGACACCCACTCTGAATATCAAAGCCACGGACTTGGGAGAGGGATCTACCTCTCACATTAGAGTCACAGCCCCTGGATCAAAGAGCACACCACACATGCCTGGCACAACCTCTGAAATAAAGAACCCACCACCAAAGGAAGTGCCATCCTTTGGTATGTTGACCCCAGCACTTTGTTACCTCTTAGAAGAGCAAGAAGCAGCACGGGGCTCATCCTCTGTGGAGGAAGATGCAGAGGAGATTGATGAAGAGAAACAAATGAAGGGGTTTCTGGATGATTCTGAGAAAATGGCATTTCTGGTGTCTCTTCATCTGGGGGCAGCAGAGAGGTGGTCCGTCTTGCAGATGGAGTTAGGAAACCACCTCTCCAGTGAAAATAAATCTTTCTTGAGAAGATCACAGGGTTTGTATGACTCCTTGTCTGAGATAGACATTCTAAGTGCTGTTCTTTGTCATCCTAAGCAGGGTCAGAAGTCAGTCAGGCAGTATGCCACTGACTTCCTGCTGCTGGCCCGACACTTGTCTTGGTCTGATGCCATTCTACGGACCAGGTTTCTGGAAGGACTCTCAGAAGCTGTTACCACCAAAATGGGCCGTATCTTCCTGAAGGTGGCCGGCAGCCTAAAGGAGCTGATAGATAGGTCTCTGTACACTGAGTGCCAGCTGGCTGGAGAGAAGGATTCCTCAGGCAACTCAAACCAGGTTGTGCCAACAGCCTGTAAGAGGAACAATGAGGAGGCCATGGAGAATGAACTGGACTCTCAGCAGCAGACTGATGAGGTAATCAGGGGGACATATGCTCATGGTTTCTGAGTATAAAAATGAGGAAGTAGTGATGTGATATTAACACCCATAGTTTTTCAAGTGGGATCAAGGAAGAGGCAAGATGGAGGTACTGAGTTCCTAGATCACAAGAGAATAGAGAATTTTACAAGTGAGCATAAATATGGTTATTTTGATTATATTTGCCATTTTCAGAAACAATGGCTAATTCAGGTTACTGAGCAGGCTTTGGATCATAAGGAAATTCAGTAGGGTCAACCCCAACTCTCTGTTTATTGTAAGTCCAGTTCTAAGAGAGAGACTTCTTTTATGGACTGGGGTATGTTGTGGACTCAATTCACCAGAGGATTTTATTAACTTAAGACTTGACCACACTTTTTATACATCTGATACATTACAAAGTTCTTTGACTTGCTAGCTCACTGAACTTAATCAGATAGAATGCCTTTGGCCATCGAAAGTGTGGTTCTTATTTATGCTTTTTCCCCCTTTCTCACAGCACCAACATGTTCCCAAACGCTGTTACTACTTGAAAGAACATGGAGACCCCCAAGAAAGTCTTCATGACCACCTTCGACAGAGTGCAGGCCATCCGAAGGTGCCCACCAATAAGTAGTACTCCTTGGAATCTTATGTGATTTCTGAATTGGCTGCTAACTGGAAGACTGGTTCCTGGACCCATTTCATTCAACTGCATCATAAACCTTGTTGCCTTTACCCTCCAGCCTTCCCCTCCAGGTGCATTCCACTTTATCTCCTTTTTGGTTGCCTTGACCTTTTCATTCACCTACATGCCTGTGACCTGCCCTGACAATCAGTGTGGACTTTAAGGATGTATGGTATATGAGGCTTTGAACTTCCATCATTATCATCATCATCATCATCATCATCATCATCAACAACAACAACAACAATATCATCATCAAGGCCAGTTCTAATTCTTGGTTCAGGGAGAAGTCTAGGCAGGAGAAATCACATCCTACCTCAAAACACCTTATAGTGTCTTGCCATGTGTCATCAGGCTAACTTGAGGAAACCCTGCTCCCATTCCACCTGGCAGGGGAGCCTATAAACAGAGAGATATCCACCCCTATACCATCCTTTCAAATCACTAGACTTGCCCTTATATGCCCCAGTTCATAGTATCTAAATGGGTCTCCTGAGCCTTTGCCCTGTTTATAGTCTTGATCCTGAACCATTTATTTTGACCCATAATATTAATAGTAGTGATAGTAATGGCTAACAATTGTTGGTAATGTGCCATGTGACAAGTACTGGGCTAAACCCTTGTCAAGCACCATCTCCCTACAGTGAGCCTAACTTGCTCTTGTGTTGTTAGCTTCTGATCTCTTGATCTGTTGCTTATGGTGTTTGTTCTTTGGTGTGGAATCTCTAGCTATGACCTCTGGGTGACCCCCTCAGTTGTTAATTTCCCTTGCTCCCCTGGCTTTTGTGCTTTATGACCGGCACTCTTCATAAGGGTCTTGATGTCTAAACAGGTAGTTAGATCGTAATATGAATAGTGTTTGCCTTCAGGTGGTGGGTTATGGGTGTTTTTTAATTTTCTTTTTACAGTTATCTGTGCTTTCCAGATTCACCGCAATAAGCATGTATTGCATTTGTAATCATAAAAATAAAGATCACCTGTGAAAAATGAATTAATTATGCCAATTAGAATTTGATTTATTGAGTTCTTTAATTTTTTAGCCTTATTTATTTTGCGTGTTTGTGTGTGGAGGGGGAAGGGAGATATACAGTATGTATGTAGGGGCAAGAAGATAATTTTTGGGGCTCAAGTTCCCTTTTCTACCATGTAGATCCTGGGTATCAGACTCAGGCTTGGGATACATGTTCTTACCTTCTAAGCTACCTTTCCAGCTCTTGAATTCTTTCAACATGAAGTGTTGGCCACTGTTTGGGTGATAGTTAAGACTTTTTCCCATATTAAAATTCCACCCAAATTTAAGGTAGGTGAGAAAAACAAGAAAGAACACCTTTATAAAAAATTTTTAAAAGTTTTAAAATTTATTGTTTATACTTTATTCTGCCTGCATGTGTGCCTGTACACCAGAAAAGGACACCAGATCTCATTATAGATGATTGTGAGCCACCATGTGGTTGCTGAAAATTGAACTCAGAACCTTTGGGAGAACAGCCAGTGCTCATAACCTGTGAGCCATCTCTACAGCCTCCTCAAGAACACATTTAAATGAGATAAGTATGACGACTTGAAGACAAGAAACAGGAAAATGGGAGAATTTGATATAAGTAGGACCAATTTATCTGTTCAGTAATAATCAGTATAGTATTCAAAGATATTTTAGAAATAGAAGGAATGATAAAATTCAAAACATTTTATAAAGGTAGATTGGTGACAATTTGGAGGTAGAATGGAGGAAGGGGTCAGAGGCATCTGGGTTTCCTGGTACACTAGTCCAGGAGACTGGTCGGCCAAATGATCTAGTGTGGTGGAAGGAACACCAAGGCAGACCCTAAAGGCTCACTAAGCCTGTTGCTCCATTACCCTAAACATTAGCTCTAATTCCATGAAGAGGAAAATTTTCAGGCCTAGCAGATACCTTGGTCGCCCCTCAGCATGGTACATGAGACTCTGGCTCTAGGGGATGCCTCGAGCTGTTGCCTCAGGGAGAAAAGGGTAACAGCAAGTTGGACAACACAAACTCCAGGCAGGGAAAAAATCAGCCCCAGAAGACCCAGATTTCATCCTCATTTGTGCATTGCCTCACATCTGATTCAGTCCAGACCCAAGTAGAGTACAGATATTCATGTTTAGTTAGGGTTGCTTTTACCTCAGAAAAGCAAGCAAAAATCTACCAGAAAAAAAATGTGTGCTATAGAAGTCACAACTCAGGCCTGTAAAATGCATACAGGAAGGAAAATTTCTTCAAAATGAAACTCATTTTCTTATGATCACGATAATGGACAGCAATGGAAATTCTTCAGTTCTCTCCCTCAGCCACTCATCTTCCTTTTGCTTTTTTCTTCTTAGTAGAGATAAATGGAACTGATGAAGGCCAATCACATTCTGTCAGAGCTCAGTTCCTTGTCCACCTAACCTAACAGCTAAATTTAGAAATGTTTCAAGAGCCAGTCAGCAGCTTTATGGAGCTAGGCTATCATATATCCAAGTACTTTGAACCATTTTTGTCAGCTGAAAAAAAATTGTGGTCCATGTTTTTGTACTCCTCGCTGACCCATGGGTAAAAAAATAAGCAAAGAGAACTCAGATATCACCAGCCCCTGCCCTCACCTCCATTCCTTGAGAATTTTCTGCAGTTCTTTAGGGGAGGATACCAGTGGAATTGCACTGCTTGTTGTTCTTTGACTGATACACTGACTGCCTTGTGGAGTTCAGCTGGTTATATGAACATGCAAGATATCTACCTGACCCTACTCCAGCTGCAGAAGAAAACACAAAAACCTGTTGGAACTGAGGAGATGAATTCTGGGACATATCAAATAATGAGAGGTTTAAATAGTGCTGATGTCCAGTTAACATCCAGTTAACATCTGAAATGACCCTTATATATAAGCTCTGATGTTGAAAACTTGATCAGTAGCCGGAAGCACTATTTTGGGAGGCACTGTAAATTTTAGAGGTCTGGCTATATAGGAGAAAGTACTTCAGGAGAAACTCCATTTTGCTTTGGTTCCCTCTGGTCTGTCTCTTTCTGCTTCTTGTATACTAGGAGTTAAACAATTTTGCTCTACCACACCCTTCAGCCATGATGTTTCATGTCAATATTATCGAGAAACTACTGATCCAGTGATCCATGAACTGAAACCTCTGAAATTGTGAGCCAAAATAAATCTTTCTTCATTTTAATTTGTTTATGCCAGTTGCTTTATCATAACAATGAAAAGTCTAACACAACTTCTTTGGACAATTTTGGCTTTAGGTATTTGTGAAACAAAACAAAACAAAACAAAACAAAACAAAACAAAACAAAACACCGTAACTTTTAGAATCAGGGGGCTATACTGAACTTATTTCATAGGCTAGGAACATTAGGCACAGAAAAGTTAAATAACTGGTCTGTCTTAGTCATTTTCTATTGCTGTGAATAGGCACCGTGATTACAGCAACTCTTTTTTTAATTTTTTTTACACTTTATTCACTTTGTATTCCCCCACAAGCCCCTCCCTCCTCCCCTCCCGATCCCACCCTCCCTCCCCCTTCTTTATGCATGCCCCTCCCCAAGTCCACTGATAGGGGAGGTCACAGCAATTCTTATAGAAACATTTAGGCCAGGCATGGTGGTACACACTTTTGATCCTAGTACTTGGGAGGCAGAGGCAGGTGGATCTTTGTGAGTTCAAGGTCTGCCTGGTCTACATAGTGAGTTCCAGGGTATCCAAGGATTCACAGAAAAACCCTGTCTTAAAAAAATGAAAAAAAGAAAAACATTGAATTGGGAATTGTTTATAGTTTAATCCATTATCAGCATAGAAGGAAGCATAACAGCACACAAACAAACATGGTTATGGATAAGAAGCTTTGAGTTCTGTATCCTGATCTGTAGGCAGCAGGCAGAGAGAGATAGTGGGGCTGGGTGGGCTTTTGAAAACTCAAAGCCCAACCCTAGTGACACACTTCCACAAAGAAGGCCACACCTCCTAATCTTTATAATCCTTTCAAAGAATTCCACTCCCTAGTGACTAAGCATTCAAATATGTGAGTCTGTAGGGGACATTTTTTTCCCAACATTTAGTGGTCATGAACAGAGTGGGGAATGTGGCAATGAGCCAGTAAGCCAGGTCCACCAATCTGGAAACACTGTAACACAGAGCTCTCCTGGGTCTATGGTGGTCTGACAGTATATAAGGGATAATTTTAATCTTCTTGTATCTGTTGAGGCTTGCTTTGTGCCCAACTATATGGTCAACTATGGAGAAGGTTCCATGACGTACTAAGAAGAAGGTATACTCTTTCGTGTTGGGGTGAAAAGTTTTGTAGACATCTGTTAGGTTCATTTGATTTAAGATCTGTGTAAGTGTCATTATTTCTCTGTTTAGCTTCTTTTAATGATCTATCCGTTGGGGAGAGTGAGGTGTTGAAGTCTCCCACTGTTAAGGTGTTGGGACCAATGTGTGATTGAAGCTTTAATGTTTCTTTGACAAATGCAGGAACCCTTTGTTTGGTGCACAGATGTTCAGGATTGTGATGTCCTCCTGGTGGATTTTTCCTCTGATGAGACTGGTGTCCCTCTCCACCACTTTTGATCAATTTTGGTTGAAAGTCTGTTTTATTAGATGCCTATTCTAGCTTGCTTCTTGGGTCCATTTGCTTGGAAAACCAATGTGTGATAGATATTATTGCCCAATGATTGTTAGTTCCATTTATTGTGGAGGGAGTGGTGATTGTGTTTGTTGTGTGCTTGTTTTCTTTTGCTTTTTTGTGATGGTGTCTTTATCCTGTGTTTTCTTGGGTGTAGTTGACTTTGTTAGATAGGAGTTTTCCTTCTAGAATCTTCTGTAGGGCTGGATTGCTGCATATATGTTGTTTAAATTTATCTGTGTTATGGAATATTTTGTTTTCTCCATCTATGTTGATTGAAAGTTTTGCTGGGTATAGTAGCCTGGGTTGGCATCTGT